TCCTGGTATAATGAGTGATTTTTAAATTATATCCTAGACCACTCGGTTATTGTGTTAGAAGACCCTTTATTTCCCTTTACATCTGTTTATTCAGCAGTCACTGTGTTCGGGTGTAGCATGTTTGCTCTGGCTTACTTCTGTGGGCTTTAGTTCCAGTGACAGTTTTATTTCTTGAGCCATCTTGTGCTGCTGGGGCTCCCCCTCAATTACTGTTTGGTGCTGTCTGCAGGGGTGGAAGGCATGTCCCTGGGCTGCCTACAGTTGAAGGGTGACCTTCTGGGATGGGGATGGGGAGCTGACAACAGACTAAAAATACAGGAAAAATAAGCCCTTAGCCTAGTAAGCACTCAATAGACGTTGCTTTTTGATTATCATTACTATCATCATTTTCCTGACCACTCTCATCCTATGGGCTTTACAATTATGGGATTACTTGCTGAATTCTGAACAAGAAAGGAGTCTGGAGCATGCACCATCCTTTCTGTGGTATCCTTTAATAGTCTTCCTGCTGTCTCCACCAGGAGATGTATTTAGCAACCCACCCAGTTAGAGTAAGACACATCCTACACTGGGCATGAACTTTTATAGCTTTTAGCACAGTGTTTGATAATCATTTTCTAGGCGTTCAGCACCATCCTGTGAACCTCCTTCGAGGCACAGAATTTGGTCTGGTTTTGAAACTATGTCCCAGATCTATCAAAATGCCTGGCACATGGTACTTAGGAGCTTACTAAATATCTACTGAAATGAAAGGCTCCAGTGAAAGAGCTGTAGGTGAGAGCAGCTGGATGGGTCAGAGCATGGGGGTCCCCATCATGGCTGAGTCTGAGAAAGTCTTCATGAGAGGGTGTCCATGGTGTGGGTAATGTGACCGAGGCACCATCAGTCAGTATAACCTCCTAGGCTTTGACTTGAGAGATAGTGACTCCAGATGGCAGGTCTAGCAGAGAGAGCAGTGGCAGTGGTGGCAGATGGAGACTGATGCAGCTCCCGGTGTGGCAGTGGCAGTGGCAGTGAGCTCTGGTCCATCTCTTGTCGATACTGCCAGTGTGGAAAGCCATGGCGCCTGACACTCTGCAGTAGGACTGCAGCGGGACCCCCACCAGGCAGTCTTGCGAAGGGATTGGGGGCCTCATTCCTGGTGAGAGGTCCCAAGCCATGTTATCCTGTCCATTGGTGATGCTGTGAGCCATCCCAATGTCCTCTACCATAAATTCCTTCCTGTTTGAATCAACCATAGTTGCTTTTCTTACTTACAACTGAAGCTGGACTAATAACAATGGAACTGAGATGAGGGGGAGAGTGAAGGAGGCTTTTGGAGAATTCAAAGTCCTGTATCTCTACTGATGGTCCCTTCATAAAGATCATTTTTGCATATTAAGGAGAGTACATTCTAGTAAATTTATATTTATCTAGAAATCCACTCCTTTCTATATTAATGAAGTCTTTAAGACATTTTCTAATTTTTGTTTCATACGATTTGAGAGATTGCTAAAAATTTATCATTAATTTCTCTTGACACACAATATGTATATTTTTATGTATTCTTTTTTATACATGAAGAGTTGCAGGGCAGGCATGGGTTCATGTTTGTTATCCCAGCACTTTGGGAGGTCAAGGCAGGCAGATCACTTGAAGAGTTGTAGACCAGCCTGGCCAAGATGGTGAAACCCAAATAATTTTATGAGACCAACATCATTCTGATTCAAAAACCTGGCAGAGACTCAACAAGAAAAGAAAACTTCAGGCCAATATCCATGATGAACATAGACACAAAAATCTTTAATAAAATACTGGCAAGCCGATTGCAACAGCACATCAAAAAGCTTATCCACCACAATCAAGTAGGCTTCATCCCGGGGATGCAAGCCTGGGTCAACATACGCAAGTCTATAAACGTAATCCACCACATAAACAGAACTAAAGACAAAAACCACATGATTATCTCAATTGATGCAGAGAAGGCCTTTGACAAAATTCAACAGCACTTTATGTTAAAAACCCTCAATAAGCTAGGTATTGACTGAACGTATCTCAAAATAATAAAAGCTATTTATGACAAACGAACAGCCAATATCATACTGAATGGGCAAAAACTGGAAGCATTCCCCTTGAAACCTGGCACTAGACACGAATGCCCTTTCTCACCACTCCTATTCAATATAGTACTGGTACTTCTAGCCAGAGCAATCAGGCAAGAAAAAGAAATAAAGAGTATTCAAATAGGAAAGGAGGAAGTCAAATTGTCTCTATTTGCAGACGACGTGATTGTATATCTAGAAGACCCCATCGTCTCAGCCAGAAATCTCCTGAAACTGATAAGCAATTTCAGCAAAGTCTCAGGATACAAAATCAACGTGCAAAAATCACAAGTATTCCTATACACCAATAACAGACTTAAAGAGAGCCAAATCAAGAACGAACTGCCTTTCACAATTGCCACAAACAGAATAAAATACCTAGGAATACAACTAACAAGGAACGTAAAGGACCTCTTCAAGGAGAACTACAAGCCACTGCTCAACGAAATAAGAGAGGACACAAACAGATGGAGAAACATTCCATGTTCATGGTTAGGAAGAATCAATGTTTTGAAAATGGCCATACTGCCCAAAGTAATTTACAGATTCAATGCTATCCCCATCAAGCTACCAATGACCTTATTCACAGAACTGGAAAAAACCACCTTAAACTTCATATGGAAGCAGAAGAGAGCCTGCATAGCCAAGTCAATTCTAAGCAAAAAGAACAAAGCGGGAGGCATCACACTACCGAACTTCAAACTATACTGCAAGGCTACAGTAATCAAAACAGCATGGTACTGGTACCAAAACAGAGATATAGACCAATGGAACAGAACAGAGGTCTCGGAGGCAACACAGCATATCTACAACCATCTGATCTTTGACAAACCAGACAAAAACACGCAATGGGGAAAGGATTCCCTGTTTAATAAATGGTGTCGGGAAAACTGGCTAGCCATGTGCAGAAAGCAGAAACTGGACCCTTCCTGACACCTTACACTAAAATTAACTCCAGATGGATTACAGACTTAAACATAAGACCTAACACCATAAAAGCCCTAGAAGGAAATCTAGGCAAAACCATTCAGGACATAGGCGTAGGCAAGGACTTCATGACCAAAACACCAAAAGCATTGACAACAAAAGCCAAAATAGACAAATGGGACCTAATCGAACTCCAAAGCTTCTGCACAGCAAAAGAAACAGTCATTAGAGTGAACTGGCAACCAACAGAATGGGAAAAAATTTTTGCAGTTTACCCAGCTGACAAAGGGCTGATATCTAGAATTTACAAAGAATTAAAACAGATTTACAAGAAAAAACCAAACAAGCCCATTCAAAAGTGGGCAAAGGATATGAACAGATACTTTACAAAAGAA